GGAGGGACTGAGGGAGGGAGGTACAGAGGGAGGGAGGGACAGAGGGAGGGAGGGACTGAGGGAGGGAGGGAGGTACTGAGGGACAAATACCAGTAGCCCAGTAGCAGCCGCCCGGGGCGCATCTCTGCCCAATTTTATGAACACATCCTAATTCTGCAACACTCTTCATGCTGCTCAAATTATAGCTGGGTTGTGTTGCTAGTGGTGAGGTAGTTGTGTTGCTAGTGGTGCGGTAGTTGTGTTGCTAGTGGTGAGGTAGTTGTGTTGCTAGTGGTGAGGTAGTTGTGTTGCTAGTGGTGAGGTAGTTGTGTTGCTAGTGGTGAGGTAGTTGTGTTGCTAGTGGTGAGGTAGTTGTGTTGCTAGTGGTGCGGTAGTTGTGTTGCTAGTGGTGCGGTAGTTGTGCTAGTTGCTAGTGGTGCGGTAGTTGCTAGTGGTGCAGTAGTTGTGTTGCTAGTGGTGAGGTAGTTGTGTTGCTAGTGGTGCGGTAGTTGTGTTGCTAGTGGTGCGGTAGTTGTGTTGCTAGTGGTGCGGTAGTTGTGTTGCTAGTGGTGCGGTAGTTGTGTTGCTAGTGGTGCGGTAGTTGTGTTGCTAGTGGTGCGGTAGTTGTGTTGCTAGTGTGTGCTAGTGGGAGGTAGTTTGTGTGCTAGTGGTGCGGTAGTGGTGCGGTAGTTGCTAGTGGTGCGGTAGTTGTGTTGCTAGTGGTGCGGTAGTTGTGTTGCTAGTGGTGCGGTAGTTGTGTTGCTAGTGGTGCGGTAGTTGTGTTGCTAGTGGTGCGGTAGTTGTGTTGCTAGTGGTGCGGTAGTTGTGTTGCTAGTGGTGCGGTAGTTGTGTTGCTAGTGGTGCGGTAGTTGTGTTGCTAGTGGTGCGGTAGTTGTGTTGCTAGTGGTGCGGTAGTTGTGTTGCTAGTGGTGCGGTAGTTGTGTTGCTAGTGGTGCGGTAGTTGTGTTGCTAGTGGTGCGGTAGTTGTGTTGCTAGTGGTGCGGTAGTTGTGTTGCTAGTGGTGCGGTAGTTGTGTTGCTAGTGGTGCGGTAGTTGTGTTGCTAGTGGTGAGGTAGTTGTAGTTGTGTTGCTAGTGGTGCGGTAGTTGTGTTGCTAGTGGTGAGGTAGTTGTGTTGCTAGTGGTGCGGTAGTTGTGTTGCTAGTGGTGAGGTAGTTGTGTTGCTAGTGGTGCGGTAGTTGTGTTGCTAGTGGTGAGGTAGTTGTGTTGCTAGTGGTGAGGTAGTTGTGTTGCTAGTGGTGAGGTAGTTGTGTTGCTAGTGGTGAGGTAGTTGTGTTGCTAGTGGTGAGGTAGTTGTGTTGCTAGTGGTGAGGTAGTTGTGTTGCTAGTGGTGCAGTAGTTGTGTTGCTAGTTGTGTTGCTAGTGGTGCAGTAGTTGTGTTGCTAGTGGTGAGGTAGTTGTGTTGCTAGTGGTGCGGTAGTTGTGTTGCTAGTGGTGCGGTAGTTGTGTTGCTAGTGGTGCGGTAGTTGTGTTGCTAGTGGTGCGGTAGTTGTGTTGCTAGTGGTGAGGTAGTTGTGTTGCTAGTGGTGAGGTAGTTGTGTTGCTAGTGGTGCGGTAGTTGTGTTGCTAGTGGTGCAGTAGTTGTGTTGCTAGTTGTGTTGCTAGTGGTGCAGTAGTTGTGTTGCTAGTGGTGAGGTAGTTGTGTTGCTAGTGGTGAGGTAGTTGTGTTGCTAGTGGTGAGGTAGTTGTGTTGCTAGTGGTGAGGTAGTTGTGTTGCTAGTGGTGAGGTAGTTGTGTTGCTAGTGGTGAGGTAGTTGTGTTGCTAGTGGTGAGGTAGTTGTGTTGCTAGTGGTGCGGTAGTTGTTGCTAGTGGTGCAGTAGTTGTGTTGCTAGTGGTGCAGTAGTTGTGTTGCTAGTGGTGAGGTAGTTGTGTTGCTAGTGGTGAGGTAGTTGTGTTGCTAGTGGTGAGGTAGTTGTGTTGCTAGTGGTGAGGTAGTTGTGTTGCTAGTGGTGAGGTAGTTGTGTTGCTAGTGGTGCGGTAGTTGTGTTGCTAGTGGTGCAGTAGTTGTGTTGCTAGTTGTGTTGCTAGTGGTGAGGTAGTTGTGTTGCTAGTGGTGAGGTAGTTGTGTTGCTAGTGGTGAGGTAGTTGTGTTGCTAGTGGTGAGGTAGTTGTGTTGCTAGTGGTGAGGTAGTTGTGTTGCTAGTGGTGAGGTAGTTGTGTTGCTAGTGGTGAGGTAGTTGTGTTGCTAGTGGTGAGGTAGTTGTGTTGCTAGTGGTGAGGTAGTTGTGTTGCTAGTGGTGAGGTAGTTGTGTTGCTAGTGGTGAGGTAGTTGTGTTGCTAGTGGTGAGGTAGTTGTGTTGCTAGTGGTGAGGTAGTTGTGTTGCTAGTGGTGCAGTAGTTGTGTTGCTAGTGGTGAAGTAGTTGTGTTGCTAGTGGTGAGGTAGTTGTGTTGCTAGTGGTGAGGTAGTTGTGTTGCTAGTGGTGCGGTAGTTGTGTTGCTAGTGATGCGGTAGTTGTGTTGCTAGTGGTGAGGTAGTTGTGTTGCTAGTGGTGAGGTAGTTGTGTTGCTAGTGGTGCGGTAGTTGTGTTGCTAGTGGTGCAGTAGTTGTGTTGCTAGTGGTGCAGTAGTTGTGTTGCTAGTGGTGAGGTAGTTGTGTTGCTAGTGGTGAGGTAGTTGTGTTGCTAGTGGTGAGGTAGTTGTGTTGCTAGTGGTGAGGTAGTTGTGTTGCTAGTGGTGAGGTAGTTGTGTTGCTAGTGGTGCGGTAGTGTTGTGTTGCTAGTGGTGCGGTAGTTGTGTTGCTAGTGGTGCGGTAGTTGTGTTGCTAGTGGTGCAGTAGTTGTGTTGCTAGTGGTGAGGTAGTTGTGTTGCTAGTGGTGAGGTAGTTGTGTTGCTAGTGGTGAGGTAGTTGTGTTGCTAGTGGTGCGGTAGTTGTTGCTCTTGTTAGGGGGGGGGGATAGTGGTGGCTCACAGTACCTATCCGTACCTTTGGCCCCTGAGTGCGTGGGGGGGGGGGGGGGGGAGACTCTTATCCCATGTGATTTATGTGGCTATGCTGGAACCTCCTCAAGCTTCCCACCTGTCTAACCACCTACCTGTCTAACCACCCACCTGTCTAACCACCTACCTGTCTAGCCCCCCACCTGTCTAACCACCCACCTGTCTAACCACCCACCTGTCTAACCACCCACCTGTCTAACCACCCACCTGTCTAACCACCTACCTGTCTAACCACCCACCTGTCTAAGCATTCACCTATCTAAGCACTCGCCTGTCTAACCGCCCATCTATCTAACCACTCAACTGTCTAACCACCCAACTAACCTACCCTCCCACTATCCGCGAATTCCTACGTGCATATGTTATTAAGCAAAGGTTCTTATGGGTACTTACCTAACTGTAGTAACCTAACAGTTTCTATGAGGCTACGGTTAGGTATGTATGTATGCCCCGTATGCCTCTGTATGCCCCGCCAGCAAGCCTAGTCTTGTTGTATCTGTTGCATTACACTCTAACTATTTTGACGTTTGGAGTCGTTGATGAATCTGGCATTCAATTTGCGAATGGAGGGTGAAATGAAATTGGTGAAATGCCATTCTGACCAACTTACGCGTCAACCGTTTAAATAGCGTATACACGCATCAAAAGTTATGACATTTCCTACAAAAACCACTTGAACATCACTGTCAATAAATTTACAACGAAACGTACTAAATGTGTTGTTTTGTTTATTCAACTGAATAATTGTTCTAAGTTAGGTGCGCCTCATATATCCGCGGGCGTGTATAAAACAATTATAGTGAGACAATGTACCGCGTGTGACCGCCACAGCAGCCCCCAATCGTGGATACTTGGATACTTAAAAAGTTATAAGTATTTGTAACTATACTTGTAACTTTGTAAGGCTTTTTGGCAACCATGTGAGGCTTTTTGGCAACCATGTGAGGCTTTTTGGCAACCATGTGAGGCTTTTTGGCAACCTTGTGAGGCTGTTTAGCAACCTTGTGAGGCTTTTTGTCAACCTTGTGAGGCTTTTTGGCAAACTTGAGGCTTTTGGTAGCCTTGTGAGGCTTTTTGGCAACCTTGTTAGGACCCTGTGAGGCTTTTTGGCTTCCTTGTGAGGCTTTTGGCAAACTTTCTGCGCATTTTACCTTATGGAATTTTGCCTGTGTTTTTGCGTTTTGAGGATTTGCTCTGGGTATCTTGGCATTTGGTACACTTGAGTTTTTTATTTATAAATATTTTGTGTAGGGGCTTATGAAGGCTGTTTTGTGAGGTCTTTTGTTGATTTTAATAACACATATACCTTAAAGTTGTGTGCTTCTTGAAATATACTGGCTTTATATCTTGGTATAATTATCATCGCGTGGCTTTATAACTTGGTATAATTATCATCGCGTGGCTTTATATCTTGGTATAATTATCATCGCGTGGCTTTATATCCTGGTATAATTATCATCACGTGGCTTTATAGCTTGGTATAATTATCATCGCGTGGCTTTATAACTTGGTATAATTATCATCATGTGGCTTTATAACTTGGTGTAATTATCATCACGTGGCTTTATAACTTGGTATAATTATCATCGCGTGGCTTTATAACGTGGTATAATTATCATCGCGTGGCTTTATAACGTGGTATAATTATCATCATGTGACTTTATGACAGTATAATGATCATTTGACTTTATAACTTTGTACAAGTATCATCATCTGGCTTTATGACTTGGTATAACTATCATAATCTGGCTCCTATAACTTGATATAGTTAGCATTATCTAGCTTTATGACTTGTATAACTATCATAATCTGGCTTTAGGCCTGGTGTCATTATATATATATATATATATATATATATATATATATATATATATATATATATATATATATATATATATATATATATAATCTACCTACGTGAATTGCTATCGTAGATATAATTGAGTTGATAAACGTTATCTGTGTTGTGGGAGTTATTGTCATCAACGTCATTATTTAACTTTATAAGTTGTTGCCACACTTGCAGTTTTACTGAGATAAAGTTTGTGGGTTTTTCTTTGCAGACGGAGAAAATGTGTTCGCGGACCCAGAGTGCAAGCTTAGTAAATATGCTCCCAAGTCCTGGAAGACCTCGTCCAGCGTAAGTCACTACACTCTTGTTTGTTGCTCTGCTTTACTGCCGGTGGTGGGGGAGTTTACTGCCGGTGGTGGGGGAGTTTGCTGCCGGTGGTGGGGGAGTTTACTGCCGGTGGTGGGGGAGTTTGCTGCCGGTGGTGGGGGAGTTTGCTGCCGATGGTGGGGGGGAGTTTACTGCCGGTGGTGGGGGAGTTTGCTGCCGGTGGTGGGGGAGTTTGCTGCCGGTGGTGGGGGAGTTTACTGCCGGTGGTGGGGGAGTTTGCTGCCGGTGGTGGGGGAGTTTGCTGCCGATGGTGGGGGGGAGTTTACTGCCGGTGGTGGGGGAGTTTGCTGCCGGTGGTGGGGGAGTTTGCTGCCGGTGGTGGGGGAGTTTACTGCCGGTGGTGGGGGAGTTTACTGCCGGTGGTGGGGGAGTTTGCTGCCGGTGGTGGGGGAGTTTGCTGCCGATGGTGGGGGGGAGTTTACTGCCGGTGGTGGGGGAGAGTTTACTGCCGGTGGTGGGGGAGTTTGCTGCCGGTGGTGGGGGAGTTTACTGCCGGTGGTGGGGGAGTTTGCTGCCGGTGGTGGGGGAGTTTGCTGCCGGTGGTGGGGGAGTTTGCTGCCGGTGGTGGGGGAGTTTGCTGCCGGTGGTGGGGGAGTTTGCTGCCGGTGGTGGGGGAGTTTAACTGCCGGTGGTGGGGGAGTTTAACTGCCGGTGGTGGGGGAGTTTAACTGCCGTTGGTGGGGGAGTTTAACTGCCGGTGGTGGGGGAGTTTAACTGCCGGTGGTGGGGGAGTTTAACTGCCGGTGGTGGGGGAGTTTAACTGCCGGTGGTGGGGGAGTTTAACTGCCGGTGGTGGGGGACTTTACTGCCGGTGAGGTGGGGGACTTTACTGCCGGTGAGGTGGGGGACTTTACTCCTGGTGATGTGAGACTTTACTTTTCATGAATAGTGCTTCGCTCCTAAACCTGTGTTCGAATCGCACCACTGTATATGCTTCGGCGCCACTTACTACACCAACAAATATTTGCCAAATCGTCCAAAACACCTAACTTAGCCTAGATCAAACTATTAAAATGATAACATATTAATATTATATAATATATATATATATATATATATATATATATATATATATATATATATATATATATATATATATATATATATATATATATATATATATATATATATATATATATATATATATATATATTGGGAAAATATCGTTTTCCATTACACATTAAATCAAAATTTACGAATGCAACTTAGGGGTCGGCCGTCGCTTGGACGAGCAGTGCCTGGGGGGCGGGTCTCATGGTTTAACTAATATGTTGTGAAACTGAAGCCGACGGCCTAATGGATTCGAACACTTGTTTATAGGCAGGGAGCTCTCCCCGCCACAGGGGGTGTGAAGGGCAGGGGGCGTGGAACGTTGACACTGTCAGCACTGTGTAGGGGAGAGGGAGTGGAGTGTTGGGGGAGGAGTTTAGTGGGGAAGAGGAGTTGAAGCGGGAATGAAGGATGAGGGGATGGAAGTTCAGGGGGAGAAGGGGAGTGGTGTTGGAGGGGTAGGAGTGGGGAGGGGGGGGAGAACGGATGGCATCCAGAAAGTGTCGTGGTGCAAATTGGTGAAATAGCAGATCACCGACATTCTTTCGTAATGGCGCCTTGAGGGCTTACACTCGTGTGCCCCACTGCCCTGTGCCCTCTGTGTGTCCTGTGTCCTCTGTGTCCTGTGTCGTCTCTGTGTCGTCTGTGTCCTGTGTCGTCTCTGTGTCCTGTGTCGTCTCTGTGTCCTGTGTCGTCTCTGTGTCCTGTGTCGTCTGTGTCCTGTGTCGTCTGTGTCCTGTGTCCTCTGTCGTTTCTATAGAAAGGCAAGAAGGAGCGAGGCAGGCCAGCAGGGGTCTAGGTAAGCAGGCAGCGAGGCAGGCCAGCAGGGGTCTAGGTAAGCAGGCAGCGAGGCAGGCCAGCAGGGGTCTAGGTAAGCAGGCAGGCCAGCAGGGGTCTAGGTAAGCAGGCAGCGAGGCAGGCCAGCAGAGGTCTAGGTAAGCAGGCAGCGAGGCACGACAGCAGGGGTCTAGGTAAGCAGGCAGCGAGGCAGGCCAGCAGGGGTCTAGGTAAGCAGGCAGTGAGCAGACCAGCAGGGGGTCTAGGTAAGCAGGAAGCGAGGCAGGCCAGCAGGGGGTCCAGGTAAGTAGGCAGCGAGGCAGGCCAGCAGGGAGTAATTAACACCATTTTTCAGTATCTATCTCAGTGACCTTGAGGACTCTTCGTGCCAGAAATATGTTAACGTTGAGAGGGGCAAGAGGACAGGGAGTGCAAATATAAAAGGTTTTTAATACACACAGCAACAAGGCTGAGGCAAACATGGCCGCATCGGCCCTAAAACTTCCACTTTATATCCGGCCACGTTTTATTTAATCTATTATTTATCATGAATTTCTAGATCAAAAAATAATTCCATGAAAAAAATAAATTCAAATATAATTAGAAACGCTCCATCTCCTCGAGTAACGTAGAAATTATAATAATTATGACAGTAGTGAACGCGAATGTTTTTGCCATATAAGGATCTCTGAATAAAGAATATCTCGGTAACAAACCCTGACACTTTCATTCTTATAAGGAGTATCATAGTCTTATTAATATTAACAACTTTAATTAAAAAAAGTATAGTAGAGCTACAATGCCCATTTGAAGGCTGGAAGAAATTTCGTACAAATTAGAAAGGCGTTGTGGTCAGCTGACGGAGGAACGCCGACGCCGCCATATCCGCGGCACCGCCCACCGAATGTCGCATTTAACCAGTGATTTTTAGCTCCGTTCGTGCGGGCCCCGCCCACCCTCCTATCTGTCCCACGTGACCGAGGTCATTTGGGACAGATACGGACAGATGTAGTGGTTACAGGGACCAGGTGTTTCAATAGACAAGAGTGGCGGCAGGTGGTGAAGACCAAGATGTCCAACACAGCCGGTGAGTTGGGCTCGCACAGTGCTGCAGGTGTGTCGTATATCACTCCACACACCTGGCCTGCAGGTGTGTCATGAATCCCTCCACACACCTGACAACCGTCAGTATCATAGCACTGTTCGAGCACATTACGTTAGTCCCAAAGTATAACCTTACAACCTATTTCGACAAGCCGCAGTCCGTTGACAACTGATCTTAAGTTGCAGACTTTTTTTTCTTAATTTTTAAGAGTACTAAATGGGAAAGTGACGTAGGATATGGCAGGAGGAGGGAGAGGAGAGGAGTTGGGGATAAGTGGGGGGGAGGAGGAGAGCTGGGGATCAAGAGGGGGGGTGAGAGGAGCAGGGGGATGAGGGGGGGGGGGGGTCGGGAGAGCAGGGGGCGAGGCAGGGGTACACACCTGGTGGCAGGAATGTGCAAGTGTGTCTGGGAGGCAGTAAACCTGCCAACCAACACTTCCTTTGTTTTTATCCCCAGCACAGGCCAGAGGTCAGCCTGGCCTGGAGGGGGGGGGGAGGGGAGACCTGTGTATGTTGGTGTATTACTGTGTAGACGGGGGGGGGGGAGGAAGTCCTGTATATGTTGTTGTTGTTATGCAGTAGGCGGGGGAAGGTTGCGGCAAGACTATATGTATGTGAACGCAACTCGTTTAGTTCATTTATTATGCACCCCATACCCATCTTGTGGGCGGTAGTGGAAAGGGTTACAGAGGCACATAATGGGCTCAGGGACTGAACCCCACAATTCATTTAGCTAAGCAAGTTACAATCTTGATGAGCTAGTTACAAAATTCAATATAAGTCATCACGTCAACAATGGGTTCGAGATCGACCTCAAGTACAGGCTCTAAATTAAGCAACTGACATATGTGGAGAGCTAGTGTCAAAATTTATATGTTTGTCCTGTACACCGCCCCCATCCAGTGGGCAGCGGTGGATAGGTTACAATCACTTAGTTACTACCTACAGTTAGCAAACTGGGGATATTTGGCTTAAATTTCTGGTAGCAGATCATTTTGAATGAAATATTGACACATCGCTGGAACATTGGTTATAGAATTGTCTCTAAATTCACGTATCTTTTCGCACTCCATCACATAGTGACGGAGGGTGTGCGAATAATTTTGTTGACACAGTTTACCTTTGGTCAGGTCTACATCAGCAGATAATGAGAATTCCCAGAGATACTTGTAACCGAGTCTAAGCCGAGCAGTAGTAACATCTAGAAGTCTGCTGATTTTATTGGATGATCCATAGATGTGTGGCTCCTCTTGCGTGATAGTATGATGATAGATGGAATTACTGGTGTCAATTTCACTTTGCCTCAGATCTACAAGATCTTGTTGAAGTTCTCGGTGTACTGCTGCTCTCAGATTGCTCATTGACAATCCAAGGTTACACTCAACGGGTTAAACGCAACTCGTCCTCCTGTTTTGATAGTATTTTTTTTTTTAACTATTTCATTCACCTGGACTCTAGGAGACTCGAACCGGGGACCCCACGCGTGAGAGACCGAAGCTCTATCGACCGAGCTATTGAGTAGTCTTAATAAGAAAATTTACCAGAAATCCTTCATAAGAAAACTTTCCCTATTTTTAAGTTTGTAGCTTTTGTAACTATGTGGTTGATCGTACTAATATGCAGTAATGGAGGGCACCATTAACCCACTTTTTTGTACCTTTTATTTTTCATAGTCCAGAAAAAAAACTAAAAACCAATTTAAATGTCTTAAGCCTAGTATAGCGCATATACTGTGTGTACTATATTAGCCCTTAGATAACGTGCATTAGGCCTAGGATGGTTAGGTTTTTATTAGCAACATAAGCATTAGCATCCATATTGATACGTTTGATCACATCGATAATTTGAGGATGGTGGGCTGGTTTATGACTGTACAGACGAGGTGAGAATAGCTGGATGGTGAATCAGTGTTTTGCCAACATTCCTCAGTCTCTGAGTCCATGATGTGGACCAAAGTGTGCGCGAAAGGAAATTTACGTGTGTGTGTACTCACCTAGTTGTGTTTGCGGGGATTGAATTCTGGCTCTCTG